TCCTGGAGTCTCTTTTAACAAGGACAGGACTATTTCCTTATTGCAGCCACTTCTCCCTATCTTTCAGAATGTTACAAGTGAACTGGGGCAACCATTTCATATCTCAATGGAGTATTTTTCATTTTTTAACCACTTTTACACATTCATCCTTTTTAGAAAAGGAAAAGAAAATTAAACTTTAAAGCTTGCTTATATATATAGCCAAAAACCCTTCTCTAAAATTAAGGCAGCATTCTGAAGCAGGCTGTGGTATCAAAGTCAGATAACATGGCTTTTCTGAGGTAATAATTTGTAGATGAAATTTAGAGACCACATTTAATCAGATTTTTAAACACCATACTTGAAACTACCAATTTTATTATATCAACCATTGCCAGTCACTTATTCATAGACAACTGTCCTGTCACGTGCTCATTTTTTTGCCCCCCCAATCACTCAATTTGAATTCAATGTGCTGTATTCAGTTGTAAGGAATCTGAAAACTTTTGAGTTAAAATAATAAAATATCCAAGAAAAGGAGTGCTGTGTACTTAGTTGTATAATGGGAAGACTTCTTTGTTCGCTCTTTCCTTTGACATTGCTTCAATGACCAAATCCTTAAGCCCCTTTGCATTTCAGTGTTTGCATCTGAATATCATAAGAAGCGCATATTACATCCAATTAGACCTAGAGGTATGCATTAATAACAAAAGATAATTATCATTGATTGTAGCTGGATTACATCTTTATTTCCAGATTTCTCATGAGCAGTAATATAGAGAAGAAAGGTGCCATGGCGTGGAGAAGAGGCTCTGAACCAGTCTACTAGTGTGCAGTGGTTTCCATTGGCTTTTAAACAATCATGTAATTCACTTCACAGTACTGATTGAGTAGACTTGAGTTTATTTCATTATGATAACACTGTTGTTAGCCATTGTCATTCAGCTTGGTGACTTCATTCCCTATACAGCTCAAGGCCAAACACATTGTGTGACTGTTCTTGTAATTCATTCACACAATGAGTATAAACTATCATAGATTTAGCTTTCTAAAGACTACCCATCTACTCCTCTCCCCACCTCCACTAACCATTGGGAAAAGCTAGAGCAATCCATGCTAAAGCTTTTGTCATGAAGAATTATGCACTCTGACTGTGCTGAAACTAAAACTACACATGCACATATAAGACTACCTAAAAAGAAACATGCTGGAAAATTCCTTTCCCTTCTTTTGCTTTGCAAAAGCTCTGCAAAAGCTATTTTTCTTATCATATTCATTTATGGCTTTGCTTTTGCTAAGGAAAAGCATGTATGTGGAGCAGGCACATGTGGGTGGGTTGTTTTTAACTAATCTCTAATAAACATTAAATGTCTGACCCAATGTTCTCATACACTATCAAATGTGGCAACCATATCATTCAGCCAACATAGCTTCCTTTTTCCCCAGGAACTACAATCTTGTAAGGCCACTGATTATAGAGAACTATCACAAAATAGTATTCTTCTTTAGAAAAGTTTTTAACCACTTAAAATTGTAAAACCTATTCTTTGTTTGCAGACTGTACAAAAACAGGCAGGTAATTGGCCAGATTTGGCCCACGAGGCAAAGTTTGCCAATCCCTGATCTGGATCAGCTCCCAAACTTGTCTGCACATAGAATCACCTAGGAAACATTGTAAATCTTCAGTGCTCAGGCCATACCCCAGACCAATTAAGTCCCCCAGAAAGCACTCTGAGACAAGTAGTTCATTTGAGGACATGCTCCCAGGCAGCAGAAAAGGGAGATGTAGAAGAGTAAACTACGGAATGGAAAAGAGCCGATACAAGGGTGTATTATCAAGCTGGTCACCATAGCAGGCAACTGAGTCTTAATGCCACTGGGATCCACTGAGGACCTATCTAGAACACACTTCAGAATTGTCTTCCTGGGAAATGGAAGAGAGGAGCATTTACTCACCGGCTCCCATCCCCTACTTGTTAAACTCTTCCCTAGGGATTATTTCCCTCATACTTCCTAGTTGTACACACTTGAGCAATGCATCCAAGTGCCAAGTGGCAAGCTCCAGGCAGCCAGGGCCATGTGCTATTAGGTTACATGTGCCAAAAACTGGTTGCCACAGCAATGGCTGAAGACAAAAATGAGCTAAAAGAAGGAAGGAGGTTCACAAGAGGTATCCAAAATGCCATCCAAAAGCCATTAGAATACAATGTTTTAGAAACTCATATGAGCAGTTCAACAGGAAACTCAATATGGGATTAGTACAATGCCACCTTAGATAATGCTATGGACTTAATTTTGTTCCCCCAAAAGTATTTGGAGATGACGCCCTTGAGAAGTAATTAGGTTTAGACGAAGTTATGAGCATGGGACCGTCATAAGAGGATTAGTGCCTTTTTAAGAAGACACAGCAGAGATAGTTTTCATTCTCTCTTTCCATGTAAGAACACAGCAAGAAGGTGGCTGTCTGCAAGCCAGGAAAAAAGCCCTCACCAGAACCCAACCATGATCTCAGGCTTCCAACCTTTAAAACTACAAGAAAATAAATGTCAGCCTTTGGTATTTTGTTATGGAAGTCCAAGCAGACTAATACAAGCAACTCCTCTCTCTTCAGAACACAATGTCAACAATGATACATCTCTCGTTTTAACAGTAAAAAAAAAAAAGTTACACAGTTTATCAAAGTTGAATTTAAACTCCTCTCTAAATGTCCCCTATTAATACCATTCTACTTAATAATTGTATCAAGCTGAAGTTCAAATCAGATCAGAAACATATATATATATAATATATATATATATATAAAAAATACATTCAAAATCCATACACATAAAAAATAACTTCTGTTAACATCTTGGCCCATTTTCTCCCAGCCATTGTCTAGGCATTTTATCGTGCGTGAGGTAACTGTGTGTTTGTGCACATTTCTGGATTTGATTTGAATTTCAAGGCCCAATTAAAGTTCTCTTTTGCTCAAAGCAGACACACTGCCTCCCTTTGCCCTTCCTAAATGTACTCTGTTTTACTAACTACCCCTCTGCATATTTCACAGTATCTTGAACATTCTCTCCCCCACACCAATCCCTTCTAAAGCCTAGATAAACTACAACTTCCTAATTATCTTTTCTTCCTGCTTCCTCTTATGTGGTTATGTCACTCCCCTTTTAAATCCCATTATCCTTTATACTTTCTTTCTGAATTTTATCATTTTATTCTAATCACAGGACATATATGAGCACCGTATCATAATGTCTGTGGACTATTTCCTCTTCCCATTCCTAATCCCCCACTTTTATATTAATGGATTATTGTTTCTGCAAGGGCAGCACTTGTCTTATTCATCTCTGTTTTTCCCACCATGCCTAGTGCACTGTCTTGCCCATAGAAACACCTTCATAAATCTTTGTTGTATTAATGAATAAATGTTAAGATTGTTTCAGCTGTAAGCCATGCACTACCAGTCTTGACATTTGTTAACTATACACAGGCAAATACTAAAACCCTGAGAGATAGTATATATGTTCCATTGTAGATAGGAAAAGCCACAGGGTTTCTAAACACATTTCACTTAAGAGTGTTACTGTGCTAATATCACAGTGTGTCATGGATGCCATTAGGAAAAAGCATTCAGTGCAATACTGCCTTCACCTCTCTTAACAAATGAACTACTTCACTAAGTATAAGGTCTAGCCTAGAAGTACACTCTCCATAGATTTCAAATAAGCAAGTGAGGCAGGTCAAACCACTTTCTTCTCCCATCCTCCAACTTCCTACGGGGGCTCTCTTTGGTAGAAGCCACAGAGCAAGGGAGGCTGGGTAGCACAGTTCAAAGAGGTCAGCCTCTCTGAGGCACAGCATTGGGCAGAGAAATGCACAGATTGCTTTTGGACAAAGGGAATGCAAAGAGAATAGAGAATAGTTGATAATGGACTTCACAGCTTCTACAGTTGCATATGAGCTGAAGCTTTTCATCTGTCAAGATGCCTACTGTGGTTAGACCCTACTGCTAACCATATAGAACTGGCATTATTTACCTATCCCGCAAGTCAACAGATGGCCATACTGATGCTTTACATTGGGTTATGACTGTTGGCTTGTAGGACACCTTCTAATTATGCACTATTTATTTTTCAATATTAGAACCATGTGATCCTGAACCCAAAGCAACATCATGACACATCCTTTTTATCCTGATTGTTTATAACCTGTCAGGCAAGAAAGAACACATGAGCATCTGTGAACAAAAGGGTTGGCCTTTGTTTGGAGTGCAGTAACTTGATGTATTATAAGTTCAACATGCTACTTAGCTATTTATGGCTTTGCCATAGCTCTTGCTCCAAGAGGAGTTTCTCCGATTTCAACCCTGTTTTACGGCCTCCAGCTATTCTATCAAACCTACTGTGACAGCCCAAATACCTAAACATCATGGTGTTTGATTTTCCTCTTAACTAGCTTCTCCACAGAACCAATGTATAATACTTATCTCTGTCCACTGAGCTGATTTCCTTCCCTTCCCATATGTGAGGGGGCATCAAATTATTGGTAAGTGTCCACTGCCTTCCAATAGCATTTGCTATGAAGACACCTGGCTTCCCCATAAGTAAACTATGCCTGCTCTTCCTCTTCTACAGCCAAGGTTATTTTGAGGGGTATGAGATTTGGAAGACTTCAGTGCACTTCCATTTACATACAATCTGGCACTTTTCTGGAGGACAGAAATTTCTATGGTGACTGACTTAGCCAGTTCTTGTGTGTACCATTTCTTCTTGGCCATGGAAGCCATTGGGGCCTGGTCAACTTTGTGTGAAGGCAAGTCCTGCATTGCCTAACAGGCAATATTGCCTTCAGACTAGAAATATACAACTAAAATATTACAGCATACCTTTAGTATTCCTTCCCATAGATACCCATGGCCAGTACCATGCTAACAGCTGTTTCTCAAAATCTGAGCTTCCAGGATACATTCAATTCAGAACCCTAGAGTTACTGGCTTAGTCTTCCTACTGGTTTTTCCACAAGCTCAAGTAGACCTGATTGTTAACCCCTTAGAATTCCAAAGTCACTGTGTATGTATATGTGTGACCTACTCTAATTTTTCTAGAGCAGCACATTGTGTTTCACTACCTGTACAAATTTATTAAGTTTCAACATAGCTCAGCGACAGCAGCCAGGAGTGTCCCAAGTGGGGTTTCTATGCTCTCCAGAACCAGAATCACACTTGTTTTATGGTAAGTAATGTTAAAGCCATCAATTTATTCCAACTGGCAATATTTGTGTTCTTCCTATCCACTGAACCTCAAAGAATTAACAGAGCTTGTCAGCCCTTGGATTTTTTTCACTGCATTTTCCCTTCTCTGCACTGTATGTGGTCCACCACTGTGATTATGGTATATGGCAGCATTATCTCCATCTCTCCACTAATTAGGAATTCATTCATATGGTAGTGGTCTTACCTAATAGACAGTAGTGTTCCCACTAAGTCTCAAAGAATATTTTGCCATTAGGAGGCAAGTTTTCATAACCCTGTGGTAATATCACTAAGTTATTACAAACTGTTTCAATTCAAGGTGAAGTGAGACTAGCTATCCTCAATCTTTGAAATAGGGACAATGACATTTGCCAAATCAATTACTGCATGCCATGTACACAAGCCTAAGTGACCTGGTTCTTGACTATGATCATGACGTTCCTGCAACTAACAAAATTCCATAGTGGAAGGTAAGAATTGCAATATGACCTTTTTTCACCAATTTGTAGATCTATTTGCTAAAATCAGCCCATTTATCTTTCTTAAATTGGGGGCTAATGAGTTTTAAGCCAGTAACTCCTGGGCAGAGAAAATAATGCATATTTTACAAGTTTTCTTTGAATATTGGTTTCTTGGCTACAAGAACTATAGGAAATTGCTGATTTTATAAGTTTTAAAAAGTGTTTGAACACTAGCAATTACATATGGTTCAAATTTGCTTCCATCACAGGAAACTGACTACTCCACTTGCAGAGAAGTATTACAGGAATGGATTTGTTCCTGAGAAAAAGTAAGAATTAATGTGATGGGTCTTGTTCCTGCCCCAGGTTTTAAATGCTTTATGTATATCCTTCAAAAAAGTTAAATGCTGGAAAAGGGAGATACTATTAATAGAATTTTAAAGAAGCAAATACAGATAATCACCATAAGCTACATACAGGCATACTTCAGAGATATCGCAGGTTTAGTTCTAGACCACCACAATAAAATGAATATCACAACAAAGCAAGTCACATGAATTTTTCAGTTTCTCAGTGCATATAAAAGTTTTGTTTACACTATTCTGTAGTCTATTATATGTGAAATTGCCTCATGTCTAAAAAACCCATACATACCTGAGGCTGGGCGTGGTGGCTCATGCCTGTAAGCTCAGCACTTTGGGAGGCTGAGACGGGCAGATCACAAGGTCAGGAGTTCAAGACCACCCTGGCCAACATAGTGAAACCCTGTCTCTACCAAAATACAAAAATTAGCCGGGCATGGTGGCACGCTCCTGTAATCCCAGCTACTCAGGAGGCTGAGGCAGGAGAATTGCTTGTACCCAGCAGGCGGAGGTTGCAGTGAGCTGAGATCGTGCCACCATTATCCAGCCTGGGCAACAGAGGCTCTGTCTAAAATGAAAAAACTACATATCTCAATTTAAAAATACTGCTAACAATTATCTGAGCCTTCAGCAATTTATACTCTTTGCTGGTGGAGGGTCTTGCCTCCATGTTGATGGCTGCTTACTAATCAGGGTGGTAGTTGCTGAATGTTGAGGTGGCTGTGGCAATTTCTTGAAATAACACAACAATGAAGTTTGCCACATCAACTGACTTTTCCCTTCATGAGGGATTTCTCTGTAGTACATGATGCTGTTGAACAGCAATTTACACACAGTAAAACTTCTTTTGAAATTGTACTCATTCATCTCAAATCCTGTTGCTGCCTTATCCACTGATTTTATATAATCTTACAAATCCTTCATTATAATTTCAACAAAGTTCACAGCATCTTCGCCAGGTGTATATCCCATGTCAAGAAACCACTTTCTTGGTCAGGTGCAGTGGCTCTTACCTATAATCCAAGCACTTTGGGAGGCTGAGGTAGGCGGATCACAAGGTCAGGAATTCGAGATCAGCCTCGCCAATATGGTGAAACCCTGTCTCTACTAAAAATACAAAAATTAGCCAGGTGTGGTGGCACGTGCTTGTAGTTCCAGCTACTTGGGAGGCTGAGGCAGAAAAATTGTGTGAACCCCGGAGGCAGAGATTACAGTAAGCCAAGATGGTGCAACTGCACTCCAGCCTGGGTGACAGAGTGAGACTCTGTCGCAAAAAAAAAAAAAAAAAAAAGAAAGAAAGAAAAAAAGAAACCACTTTCTTTCCTTATCCATAAAAAGCAATTCCTCATTATTTCAAGTTTAGTCATGAGATTGCAGCAATTCAGCCACATCTTCAGGATCCAGGTCTAATTCTAGTTCTCTTGCTATTTCCATCACATCTGCAGTGACTTCCTCCACTGAAGTCTTGAAACCCTCAAAGTCATCCATGAGGGTTGGAATCAACTTCTTCCAAACTCCTATTAGTGTTGATATTTTGACTTCCTCCTATAAATCACAAATATTCTTAATAACATCTAGAATGGTGAATGCTTTTCCAGAAGATTTTCAATTTAATTTGCCTAAATCCACTGGAAGAATAATTATCTATGGCAGCTATAGCCCTATAAAATGTATCTCTTTTTTTTTTTTTTTTTCTTGAGACAGAGTCTTGTTCTGTAGCCCAGGCTGGAGTGCAGTGGCAAGATTTTGGCTCACTGCACCTCCGCCTCCTGGGTCCCAGCTGAAGCAATTCTCCTGCCTCAGCCTCCCAGGTAGCTGGGATTACAGGCATGTACCACCATGCCCAGCTAATTTTTGTATTTTTAGTAGAGACGGGATTTCACCATGCCATGTTGACCAGGCTGGTCTTGTACTCTTGACCTCATGATCTGCCTGCCTCAGCTTCCCAAAGTGGTGGGATTACAGGCATCAGCCACAGTGCCTGGCCTGTATTTCTTAAATAATAAGGCTTGAAAGTGGAAATGACTCTTTGATCCACAGGCTGTAGAATGGAGCTATATTAGCAGGCATGAAAACAGCAATAATCTTATATATCTCTATCAGAGCTCTTGGGTGACTAAGTACATTGTCAATAAGCAATAATATTTTGAATGGAATCTTTCTTTCTGAGCAGTAGGTCTCAACAGTGAGCTTAAGATATTCAGTAAACCATGTTGTAAATAGATGTGCTGTCACTCAGGCTTTGTTGTTCAATGTATAGAGCACAGGAAGAGCAGATGTAGCATAATTCTTAAGGGTCCCAGGACTCTCAGAATGATCAGTGAGCACTGGCTTCAATTAAAAAGCCACTAGCTGCATTAACCCTTAATAAGACAGTCAGCCTGTCCTTTGAACCTTTGAAGCCAGACATTGACTTCTCTTCTCTAGCTATGAAAGTACTAGATTGCATCTTCTAATAGAAGGCTGTGTTGTCTACAGTGATAACGTGTTGTTTAGCATAGCCACTTTCATCAATTAGCCAGATCTTCTGCAGCAGCTTCTACATCTTGTACTTTCATGTTATGGAGATGACTTCTTTCCTTAAACCTCAGGAACCAACCTCTGCTAGCTTCAAACTTTTCTTCTGTAGTTTCCTCACCTCTCTCAGCCTTCATAGTTGAAGACAGCTAGGACCTTGCTCTGGATTAGGCTTTAGCTCAAGGGAATGTAGTGGCTGGTTTGATCTTCTATCCAGAGCACTCAAACTTTCTTCATATTAGCAGTAATGCTGTTTCAGTTTCTTATTATTTGTGTGTTCACAGAAGTAAGTCTTTTAATTTCTTTCAATAATTTTTCCTTTGCATTTAAAACCTGGCTGACTGCTGCAAGAAGCCTAGTTTTTGGCCTGTCTCAGCTTTCAACAAGCCTTCTTCACTAAGCTTAATCATTTCTAACTTTTTATTAAAGCGAGAGACATGTGACCTTTCCTCTCACCTGAACACTTACAGGCCATTGTAGGGTTACTGATTGGTCTAATTTCAATATTGTGTTTTCTCAGGGAGACCTGAGGAAAGGAAGAGAGACAGGAGAATGGCCTATTGGTAGATCACTCAGAGCAAACACATTTATTAAGTTTGCTGTCTTATATGGGCACTATTCATGGTGCCCTAAAACAATTAACAACAGTAACATAAAAAGTCACTGATAACACATGACCACAAAAGGGATAATAATTATGAAAAAGTCTGAAATAGTGTGAGAATTACCAAAACGTGACACAGGCACATAAAATGAGCACAAGCTGTTGGAAAATGGCACCAACAGAGTTGCTTGATGTAGGGTTGCCACAAACCTTCAATTTGTATTTTTAAAAAATGCAATATCTGCAAAGTACAATAAAGTGAGATGAGCCTGTATTAGTTATAAAAGAATATCAAACTCATGACTAAATTTTGTAACATTAATTTGGTCATTCTATAATAGTTTAGATTATGATGTCTTATAAAATATGTATTTTGGCTTTAGAAAATGGTTGAAAATAACATGATGCTACATTAGATTTAAGTGTATCTGCTCAATTCAGCCTATAAGTTCCTCACTACAAAAGTAATTTTAGTAACTTTGACTTTGTATGCCTTTAAATGAGGCATGTACTTTTTAGTTACCTATAGTCCCTACCACTCCCTATTGCTTTATACATAGCCACTTCACATATTCAGTACCTGCATGACATACGAAGGCATTTGAATGTTAAATTTCTGCTATTCATAATGACACACAAATTATGTAGGAACTATTCACTTGTCAGCCAAGGAAAATATGAAGAGGAGTTTTTCTTTAAACAGCGAGCTCCTCCACTCCATTAAAAATGAACCCAACTTGAAAATAATTTGTTTTGTGCTGAATTTTTTAGAAAAGCGACATGTATGAAGTTAAATACTTGAAGAAATTATCAAGAAAATAAAGAAATTTGAAAGTGAGAACTG